AGCTTGAATTACTACTATATTTTTTTAAATAATAATTAGATAATTAGTTATATTAACAACTAATTAACTAAGAAAATTATTAAATAATTGTCTATGTACTATATAGTTAAGAGAAAATTAACAGTTTTGTAATGATATAATACTATAAATATTTACTATATTAGCCTATTACTATTAAAAAAAAATAATAAATAATAAATAAATAAAATTAAAAAAAATAATTTAAAAAATAAGTATTATTAGTCTGTATTGGCTCTGTTGAAATAGGTTTGCATAAATAAAATTATTTTTATTATATTTTATAATATCAGATTAATAAAATTATAAAATAAAATTAAGCAATTATGTTAGTACTTTATTAAGATTCTTAAAACTATATACATTTATAATTACATAGAATTTTCCAATACTCAAGTCTAGCATCACTTAGTCATTCTATTGGTATCTAAGTACAACCTGTTATACTATCTTAGTTAGAGATAGACTGCTTGTCTAACTACTTAAAATCATATCTTAAAGGTCTTTTCTTTTCTGTAACAAGTATATTAACTGTCTTCTAAGCTTTCTTTTTCATTTAGTTCATTTTTTTCACTTTCTTTTTCTTCTCTTCTTTTTTTGCCAACTTATGTTTTTTGTTCTTTTCTCTACTCTTCTTTTAGTTTGAGCATCTTTTTTTATTTTGTTTGTTATATTAATTTTCTTTTTCTATTCTTGTACTTTTCTATATTGAACTCTTCATACTTGGTTGTAGAATGTATTCTATACTGTTCTTGTTACTATATTTATGCATCTCTGTGTTGCCTGTTTGCCTAGAATTTGACTGATTCTTTTTTCAATCTTATTTATTATTTATCCTTTATTAAAGCCCTTCTATTAGTAATTTTCTTTACTTCTGTTTTTCCAAATAGTGCCTTATATAGTACCAGAAGTGGAATTTTAACTTTTTCATTTTCTTTGAGACTATTTTATACTATTGTTAATGCTACCTTTTGAATTCTTTTTCACAAGCTTTTTTGTCTAATACAACTTGCTAAATGTATTTGAGTTTTTTTTCCATCTTTTTGACATACTTGGTAGTTAGTCATTGTATATATTTTTGATCTTCTTCTATTTAATTCTTCTAGTATTGGCAGGCTATCTATTATGCACTTAATCACTGTTGCTTTTCTTATACTAAGTTTTCTTATTGTACAGTGTATACTTTTTGTTCTATTTATCTCTTTTCAAAAGCTTGACCAATTATATCAAGTGTTTTTAGTTTTTGGTTCTAGTACTCAAATTAGGTTTGTTTCTCTCCAACTGGCTTCAATTCTGATATTTGTAACTATTTTGTAAAGAAGTTATGTTAGTATATTAACTTTCTTGTTTTCTTATTCTAGATAGTACTCTATTTTGTCATATTTGATCTTCTCTGTAGATATTGTTCTTCTACATATTGCTTCTTTTTTTTAAGTAAATTTACTTTGTAATTCCACTTATTATTACTGTAACTTTTAACTTTAACTAGTTCAAAGATGTGGTAACCTAGTAAAGTGATCAGGTTGTCAACTTTTAAGTAGCAAGTTCAGAGTTCAAATTCTAGTATCAACAAAAAATTTAAAAATTCTATCTGTGTTATAGTTAACTGTCTCTTACAATTGGTTGAGATAAAATACCTGTTATTTGTATTATATTAGCATAACTGACAGGTTATATAGTATTTGTATAACAGTTACATGACATTGTTCTTTGAAACAAGGTTTGTGGTTATACAAAAAAATGCAAACTAGTACCAGGTAGTGCAAACCTACAATAAGTCCTTGTAGCCATATAAATCATAAAAACCAAATGAAAGAAAACAGAAGGCTACTTGAAAGACCCAAGTAGAGAGGTAACCTAAACTTTTGATAGTATTATTATAAAGACTAGACTTATAAAATAGAGCTAGAACTTGTAAAATCAAGCAAATATGCTGGTTTTTAAGAAGGGACTAAATAAACCAACCAGACTACTAGAATTTCTAGATTTTGAAAAAAAAGTACATGTTAGCAAACATGTAAATCAGAGATGTATAGTTTTGACTTATCTTTCTGGCTATCTGAAATGGCAGTTTGGTGAAACTTAAATTAAATATCAAAGTAGTAAGGATATGTTGTAAAGTTAGTACTGTAGTTGGAATAAACTCTACAAGAGCATAGTAGTTTAATGGTATGCACTGACCATTAGTATTGATTTCAACTATAGTGATACTGAGTCAGCTGTAAGAATAAGATACAAAAGATTCTAAAAGATTTAGTATAAGGTCAAAGGTTCTAAAGAATTACTTTAAAGACTTAGTGATCATGGCTTATTTTTATCAATATCAGCTAAGATCATTGGTAAGCAAAGGTAGATGAGTATATATAAAAACTAGAATAGTTAAATAAGGAATCTACAAGCAGGTTCCAGATATAACAGCTAGTATAGAACCTTCAGGCAGACTACTTAAATTAGACAATAACTAAAGTTGTATGAGTAACTAATTGTATACTCTTTTTATAGTTGCTTCTTGTAGTTATAATACAACTATTAGCCAAATATACTATTAATAAAATCCTAGGTTACAAGTATTTACCTTAATATTTAAAAAAAAAAACTTTAATTAGTTCTATTCTATTGTTCTTGTTTTTAAGTAAATCTATAATATTCATTATCTATATCATATTTTCTTTTTTAGGACTTTGTTATTTTTTGTTTCTTAAATTGCTCTATTAATGTTCCTTAATGCTGCAAGGCTATCTGTATGCACTTTTATATTTTTTTTCTCTGGTATGGTTAAAATTGCTAATTATATTATTGCTAATTCTGCTATTGTTACTAAGGATCAACTTTTGAGTCTCAATGCTATTTTTTCCTTTGGTCAGTTTTCTTCATTACTGACCTGCATCTAACTAATATTTATCTTTTTTATACTATTTTTCTCTTTTTCTTTGTATAATACTCTGTCTGTATAAAGAATATATTTGTTTTTGTTTCTTATTTTGTTTCTTGTTAAGACTTCTATTAAGTAATCTGTAATTTTATTAACTAATTTTTGTTTTTTGATTAATTTTATCTCTAGTTCTTTTACTTGTTTTAGCTTAATTAGACTTCTTTTTTTTTTTCTATTCTTTTATTATTTTGTTTTTTAGTATTTGTTTTAATGTTACATTAATCTTAAAAACACTTAACTGCGAAAATAATCAAATCATTATTACTGCTTTTTTTACTAGTATTTTTGGAATTGTTTTTATATTATTATTTTATCTTATCTACTTCCTATAATTATTTGTTATTTGTTTTGTTCTGTTCTCATATTCTTTGCATTTCCTTATTTTAGTATATGTCTTAATAGAGTCTGGTGAAGCCTTCTGATACTGGCAAAGATCAGTATGATAGTCACTTCTAATAAGTTTAAAAGTACAAACTAGGTGGAGTCAAGGTTTAGTATCTAGAAGTATATTGAGAACATTAGTTTAAAAAATATAATAGACATGCTGAAGGATCTTAGTAAAACTAGTCAAAGAAAAAAAAATAGTTCAAAATTTTATTATAATAGATAAATTCTTTTATTTATATTCTGTAAAATTTTAATAAAAATTAATTGTAATTTAAAAAAATTTTATAAATAATATATTTTAATTTTATATAAAAATTTCAAAATACTATATAAAACTATATAAAAATAATCTATATACTCTTGATTCTTAAAGGATTTTAGTTAGTTGAGTTAAAAATTAATAATGTTGTATAAGGTTTTTGATTATAATTAAAATAAAACTAAATAGATCTTTAATCAATATTTTGATTAAACTATAATTATTTACTATTGCATTTTTGTGATGTTTATATAGCTAAAATGTAAGTTTTACAGATTTGCTTAATAAAATATCTTGTAAAAAGTTCTATATAATGTTGTTCTTATTAAAGAATATAATAAGAGTTATAAAAATTTGTATAATTAAATAAAAAAATAATAATAATAGATATTATTTTGTTAGAGAATCAGTTGTTCATTAATTTAATAATATTTAAAAGAATATATCAAATAAACTATAAGTTAAATTTAAAAAAACTTATTGAAATAAATTGAATTAAGTTGAAGATTATTGAATTTAGAGATTACTGATTAGAAGTCAGTATAAATATATTTTAGCAGAAAAGAAGTTAATAATTTAATTATAATTATTAACTTAGATTTATTCAATACTTATTATATATTGATCAATACTAATGTTAATTATAAAACCATTAGTATAAAAAGATAATTGTAAATAGAAATATTTGTAATAGAAAATAGATATAAGTTTGTTAATGATTTTATTTAGAATAAAAATTTCAAAAACTATTAAATCAGTAATAAGAATTCTAAGTAGTTAAAAAATAAAAATTGAATGCTTAACAGCTATAGAGCAAATAAGATCCAAATAGTTTGTATTAATATTAAACTGATATTTAAAGTTAGTTTTACCTAGAAATTATATTAAAATAACTACAGAAACTTTAACAGTACAAGTTTGATTAATTCTATAAAAATTAAAATAATATTCTATATATTGTTTGTATTCAACAAAAGATATAAAGTTGAATTTTAAATAATTTAAATCTATATTAGAGGCCCATTGAGTAATAAAGTAGTAAAGTGAAAATATATACTTTAATCAATAAGTTACAAATGTTTATAGCAATAATGTCAAAACAATGTTAATCATATTTAACAATATATCTACTAATTTATATATTATAGTTATAATGATAATAATCAATGGGCTTTAATTTAGTATAGTATGTAATTATACTTTTTTAAGCCATTAATATAAATATAAATGCACAAATGCTTATTCAAAAGTACATAAGAAAAACTGTGTCAAACTAAATTAAATCTGATATTTATGCACTAGTGTAATTGATATACTGCAATCAATTCTAACTCTTTTTAAGCAACTCAAGCACCTAGTTCATAGTAAAAAAAATTTATCCCTGTGATCTGTGTGACAAATCAAATGCCTGATATGAAATACCTTTCGAAAGTAATACAATTATATGAAAGGTTCAGAGAAGTCAAGTATTATTCTGACAAAGTCTCCTACTAATGCTCTCCACTCTTAAAAGTAATAATATATCTTATATGAAAAATTCAAAGATGTCAAAGTATTCTTCTTATAAAGTAAATTAGCTAATGAAGTTTCTACCTCATTTTCAAGTTGATTATATGAAAGATTTAAAGAAGTTAAAGTAACATTTTTGCAAAGTGCTTGGCAACTTCTTGACTTCTGATAAAACAAATATTATTTAATATAATATCTAAAAAAATTAAAAGATTATTTTTATAAAATGTCTTTGCAAATTCTTTTGCACCTTCAAAGAAAATAAAATTATAGCCAAGATCTAAAGAGGTCAATGAAATATTCTTGTCAAGCACATCAGCTAATAATTCTGCTCCTTTATAGGAAATCTTATTATGGCTAAGACCTAATGTAGTTAAAAAAATGTTTGTTGTAAGGGCTTCTGCTAGTGTACACCTTCCATTATCACAAATTGATTGCCTTTTAAAAAGAGTGAGGTAAGAGAACTGTTCATACAAAATGTACTTCTGATTTCTTTCACACAAACAATCTATTGTTATTGTCTTCAAGGTTTAATGAATTTAATGTATTGTTCTTGCCAAGTACAGTGACAAAGCATGCCAAGATTATTATTAGGAGGCTAGTGTAGTTTTCTTATAAGCAGCCATTGCATCAAATTAGCAAGATTTGTAGTGCACTTTGTAAGTTGTAAGGCTGTAATATTATTGTTTTTAAAAGGTTAGTTCTGACGTAATCGTAAACTATCCCATCTATTTTAATTGAACAAAGACTCTTGCCGGTTCATATAAACATTGCTATTAAAGAACATTTAATAGCGTTGTTTATCCTTTCATCATCATCATCATCATTATCGTCAGAATTCTTGAGCCAGCTTCTAATTCCAATATTTAAACCGTCACCAACGGACCTAGCATAGCTTGTGACTCGAATAGTGATCTTGAATGGGATGGTAGGTCAATTTTGAAGGGCATCAATAATGTCTGTTATTCAGCATTTAATGTTAAGACATGTTTTTATAAGTCTTTTATCATTCAAATCGCTGTCTACTTCTTTTCAAAACATTGGTACAACAATCCTACACCAGCTTTGGTTTATTAGAAGACATGAAAATAAAGAACAAGGATCATTTTAAATATTTCAGTAAAGCATTTGTTTGGTAGAAACTTATTTTTTTGTGTAAAAAAAAAAATTCAGAACCCAGATTTCTGCGCATTCTCTTTTTTATTTATTTGTTTTTTTTTGTTATGATGTAATGGGTGTCTATAATAGGGTTGGAAAATTACTGTAATTTTACATAAGTTCTGAAATCAAAATTACATGTAATTTTTATCATATGAATAATTTTTGCAAAAATTTTTATAATGCTGGCATTAAAAATAAATAAAAATTACAATTCCGACATATGATGGATATCTGGCTAATGTCGGTAAAATTATCACGGGACAATGCACTATTCAATGTAAAATTACATCAAGTTACAATGTAATTTACATTGAAATGTGACAAAATAATTTATGTAATACATCCCTAGTCTATAATTAAGATCCAAAACAAAACAACAAGACATCTAATTTCTACCAACGCTAACTTTAATAAATTAGCCAGTTCTTATTGACACCCTCATTCAGTGAATTGGAAATCAAATGAATTATGTAACATTTCGATAATAAAATACGAAGTAACTTCTGATAGTCGAGGGTGCGAATTTTTTTTTGTCTGGGCAGGAACACACGCGTAATGTGATTCTAGATCTTCAAACATGTCATACAAAGTATGCACCTATATTGAAGTGTCAATAGAATATAATTCTTTTTTGTATTTTTGTCTAAAAAAATTTAAAAAAATTTCATTAAAAAAAGATTTAGTGTGTTTCTTCTGATTCATATATACTTACGTACATATGAGTAGGAGCGTTACTTAATATAAATTCTCTATCGCTTCCCACTTTAACGAAGGAATATGGAAGAAAAAAAGATTCACATATATATGCTTATCACACCTTTTATATCGAATTAATATTATATTCAAAGATCTATAAATTGTTATACTCAGAGCTTGTTATGATAAGACTCATTGAAGCCTTATAGTAACAGGTAATCTCTATATATACGTATATAAAGTTTTAAACACACCTATTACTAATTCTATTCTTATGTATTAATATTCTTTATGTTTAAAACTCTAACTTGGCTTAGAAATCACTTTACCTATTTTAAAAAAAGTTTGTAGTTAGTTTTCTTTCAATAACCCGGATATATTTAACGATTTAGAAATTACATATAGTTCTATAATTACAGTATACATAGAAATTTCACTGTGTAAATGAGTTACTTCAAGGTGTAAGATAATTGGGATTATTTTGTATAATAATCGTTAGCACTTCTTCGAAGTTAGAAGAGATGGGTTTAATTATTATTGTTTGCTTGTGTAAAGCATGATGAAAATTTGTTTTGATTGGTTGCTTATTTATATTGACAAAATGTTACACGGGTTTTGGATAGGTTACTTCTTAAATTAACCAGATAGGTTTTTATAGCTTTTAGATCCAAATATTATTTAAAAGATAAAACTTAAAATATTATAGTTTAAATAGTTTTAAATAAATAGTTAGATTGGGCGCTACTCTGAAGGTTAGGTTTCAAGTTTTTTTTTAGTTTTTTAATTTGTAGTTTTTTGGTTTATAGATTCAAATATTGGTTCAAAAAATAAAACTTAAGTTTTTATAGTTTAGTAATATTTAATTTATAATTTTCTAACTCTTAAATCTAGATGTTGCTCCAAAAGTTAGGTTTCAAATTTTTTTATAATTTAAAATTTTAATAAATAGTTCTAGCTTTTAGGTCTTAGCGATACTTTAGAGGTTAGGTCTCAGGTTTTTTTATTATTTTAATAGTTTTTAATATATAGTTTTCTAGTTCTTAAATTTAGGTTTTAAGTTTTTTTATAGTTATATATATATTATTGTTCAAAACATAGCAAGGACTTGCATTCAGTGTTGTTATGTTCAAGAGGTCCAACGGTATTGGTTGGACATTGGTCTAAAATGTAGATTGGACGGCAGGTTAGTCATGTCACAAAAAAAGTACGGTCCCGTGATCTACAACCAATCGGACTATAATTTTACTCTTACTATATTCGGATCTAAAAAGTCTTCGAGTAAGATATGTTTATTCATATATTTACAACTCGATTTAAGTAAATACAATACTAACTCAATACATTATATTAATTTTTTAGTTAATACTAATAAAATTCGAATAACAGAAATACAAACTATTTAGTGTAACCACATTAAGAAAATTCCTTTAGACCTCTTTGCTTTGCCAAATAAAATCAACAAGATGACGAAATAAGTATATTTAAATGTAAATTATGTAAATAATTTGGATATAATCAGTAAATTAATTAGAGATTATCCATGTTACTACATTTATTTGGTTCAATTTCTAATTCAACAAGGATTCCTCATATTAATATTACCTGCCTTTTGGTAAATTAATTCATATTTGGTTTATCTTATTTAGATCTGCAAGTTATTTACCTATATCTTGATAAATATTGCTATGATTATTTAATACTATTGAATGAAAAGTGAATCAAGAAATGCAATTAACCAGAAAACCTTGTAGATTTTATTTTTAATGCTCTTACGGAAGATTATAACTCTGATTATTTATTTGAATCCAAATAGTAACAAATGGTTCAATAGTATTAATAAAAACCTTGTGCCATTGCATAAATTGAAGGATTATAATTATTTTAAAAGGCAATGAAATATTCCAAATATTTAGGAAAACTGTAATAATACTTTCTGGCTGTAAGAATATCATGTTTATTGAGTTATTTGAAATAAATAAAATGATTAATTTATTACTTATCGTTATTATTTTGTTAGTCTAAATTTTTTTGTTCGTATTTTTTTTTGTCAAGTTCTATGAATTTTTAGTGCTCGATATATTTGTCACATGGTGTTCGAAACTTTTTTGAGCAGCAATTTTACCCTGGTCGTAAAATTAGCCCAGTTCACTTAATGGACAGCTGTAATTTCATTTATGAAATTTTGAGTAATTCCGACCAGAAAATTTTGATCGTCACTCTTAGCAATCAAAATCGAGAATCTGCCAAGACTATAGTTGGTGGTAGATTTAATTTTGTAATTTGCCGTAATTTTTTTGAGCCGTAATGTTGTAACACATTACAGCATATAATATTTATGGCAATTAGATACGTACTATGCCGTAATTCAGTAATTCTACAGCCAGAACAAGTTGTTGCAGCAGTTAGGTTAATCTTAAATTTTATGCTGGATCCAATTT